CCCACCCACCAGCTCCTCCAATCAGAGGAAACAGTGAAGGAGACAGGAAACACATCTCAGACAGCCAGGAAAGGGAGAGACAGAGCAGCTGTCATAGAGCATCTCTCTGGGCTGGTGGGTGAGGCTGAGCAGGAGGGAGGAGGGAGGATGAGAGAGCCAGGCTCGAGGGAGGTTAGGGTGGAGGGGGACTGAGAGGGACACACTGGATCACAGACCTGGAGGCCCAGACAGACGGAGAGACCAGCCTGGGCAGTGAGAGCCCTGGGAGCCCACAGAGCCTTTTGGTTTCTGGGGTCCCGGAGGGCCTCACCCTCTGCCAGGGTCATGGAACCACAATGGCTCATGTTCCCATCTTGAGACCCACGAAGAGGAACTAAGCTCTTTTCCAGAGACGGGTAGAAAGCGCTCTCCTGAGCCAGGGCGTTCTGCTCTGTGTTTGTCTGACTACCCTTCTCAGGATTCGGGGAGTTTTATCTGTCTCCCTGTTTCTGCATCTTTGTCTATCTTGTCTTTTCTCTCTCTCTCTCTCTCTCTCTCTCTCTCGCTGACCCCATCTCTGTCTCAGATCATTTCTTGGGGACTCTGCCTCAGGGCTCCCACTCCCCCGTGTGTAGGAAACCTGACCTTCATCATCTGTTTTTTATATTTTGGAAACGTCCACTTAACTTCCTACCTGAGGGGAGTGGGGGTTGAGGAGCAGGCTGCCTGGCTCCACCCCTTTCCCTGTCCCCTCCTTTCTGAATCCGATCCCTCCCCCAGCTTCTTGCCCCCAGAGCTCTCAGCCCAGGCCTTCCCTGCTCTGGGTCACCGTGGCATCAGGAATCAGGTCCTGATTCATGATCTTCCCTCCACAGCTCACCGCAGGGTGGGGAAGGCAGTGAGGCCTCTTCTGATCCACTGCTGCTTTGCTGATTTGGGAAAACGTGAAAATTCCAGGCACAGAGAGAGCCCAGTGGAAACCAAGATGGAAAGTAAAGTCATTTCTGCCTCCAGGCAGCATTACAGCCAACTGGGTTGCCTAACATGTCATCACAGGTGTCTATTTAATGTTATTGTTAATACTAGCAATAGATTACACATACTGAGGGTGTGTCCTGTGCCGGGCACTTTATATAACTTTGCATATCATCCACTCGACAGCTTTATATGGTAGGTACTATTATTATCTCCCATCTTCTTAATGAGAAAACGAACACTACTTGCCCAACATAACTCAGCTAATAAGATCTGAACCCAGGTTTCTCTGACTCCAAGTTTACTCTACACCAAGTTTTGCAAGACCTGAGAAGTTTTGAACATTTCTTTTTAAAGGAAATAAATCCACAGAACTCAGAATAAACCTCCACGGTCCCAGGGAGCCAGGCACCCCAGTTGGAGAGGCATTGTTTGGAACTCACTACTTCCTGGGAGACCTTGAAGAAGCAACCAGCAAAGAGTGTGTGGAAAGGCTAGAAGAGGGCATTTCGGGAAGGAAGAAGTGGGAGGGCAACGTAAAAAGGAATGCGAACGACGGCTGTGAGTCAGGAGGCAGTGCAAGTACCAGTCTTCGAGAGCCTGGCTCTGTGCAGGGAAATGAGAGGGTGGAGGGCAGGGCCCACTCACAGAGGCCTGAGGCTCAGTTCAGTTTATGCTCCAGGTTACTGAGCTGGAGAGTAATACCGTCTGCCCTCCACATCTGCGGGTTTAGCACCCGCAGATTCAAACAATCATGGATAGAAAATAGTTGGAGTGAAAACATTACATTGTTGCTGACGTGTACCGTGTAGTTAGGCCTACGATAGTTGTGTCTGTATTGAACATGCAGACTTTTTTTTCATCCTTCCCTAAACAATACAGTATATCAACTACTTATATAACATTTACATATTAGATATTATAAATACTCTAGAGATGATTTAAAGTATATGGGAGAATGTGCATAGATTACACGCAAATACTGTGCCATTTTACATAAGGGACTTGGGCATCCTCAGACTTTGCTATTCACGGATTCCTAGAACCAATCCCCCCATGAATACCAAGGGATGACTATTCTCCAAAAGAAGTGTTGGAGACCTAGGCTGGAGGGGAAAGGTAGACAATTAAGAGGGCTGCTGAGCCCGGCCAGTGTGGATCAGTGTTTGAGCGTCGACCCATGAACCAAGAGGTCCCCAGTTCCATTCCCTGGTCAGGGCACATGCCCAGGTTTCAGGCTCAATCCCCAGTAGGGGGCATGCAGGAGGTATCGGATCCACATCTTTCATCGGAAGTTTCTTTCTCTCTATCCCTCTCCCTTCCTTTCTCTCTCTAAAATAAAATTTGAAAAAATTAAAAAGAGGGCTGCTGAAAGGTTGGTATTACAATCCAGGCAGCGTAGGATGATCTGACAAAACATGTAGAAATTGTTTATCTAAAAGACATTTCCAAAGAAATTTAGCATTTTGGAGCCATCTGCTCCTTCCCAAGGATTGCTCTCTCAGTTAGCCTTTGTGTGGGGTGGGGTGTGGTAAGCAGAGGGAGGAGCAGGGAAACCTCATGCATCTGCAGCTCTGAGCCTTCGCACTTGACCCTCTGGTCGGAGGGGTGCTGGGCCCTGAGTGTGAGCACTCAGCACTCTGAGCTGGACACCGGCCTGAGGACTTTGGTCTGGGAGGCCCAGGATACTGACCTGCCAGTTCTTTGGGGTGGAGCAGGTGGACAGATTGTAGACCTGGAGCCTGAAGCAGCGGTTTTTGTGTCTTTTTCAATTCTTTCAAAGGATGATTCCTCTCCCTGGGTGGCAAAAAAAAAAGCAAACGAGCAAAATTTGGTTAAGAACTCAAGAACTGCCAATTCAGAAACTCTAATCTGTTCAGAAAGTTAAGTCCTTTTTTTCAGAGGCCAAAAACCTATTTCCATCAAAGATTGTATATGTCTGTGTGTCTGAGAGCTGGTGAGGGCGACAGAGTGAGTGTGAGAAGGAAAGAGTTGAAATGCCTTTGTTCCTGCGTGTGAGGCTGCTGCTCCGGGGCTTATGTGTGCGCATTGTACGTACATTTGTGCCTGTTTCTCAGGCCCCTGTGTGCATTGAACTTTCAAACCATAACAGAAACACTGAAGCTTGGCAAAGAATAATTATCTAATTTTGGAACATGTTATTATAATACCTACATGATGTGTAACGAACTTAACAATGTTCGCGTTATATTCACCAGCTCTGAGTTACAGGCCCACCATGCCAAGTCCTACCCACTTCAGAGGCTTCTTTCTCCAAGACCCAAGAGCAGCGCAGGCCCTAAAGAAAGCTCTGGAAGGAATATTGTCCCCCACAACGGCCCCCTCATGGATCCAAAGGGGGGGGTCAGAGCCTGTCATGGGATAGCAACTCTATTCCTCCCAGAATCCCCCTTCCTCCCCAGTAGGGGACCCTCCGGAACTGGTAAGGAAAAAGCCATATTGGGGTCACAGAGGCTGATAGGCTTTCCCTGACTCAGCTGTGGGCCAGGAGGCCTCCTGATCAGCCAGGCTCTCTCCTCTTCCCCAGGGGGCTGGATTGAATTGAAGCTGAGTGTGAGGGGAATGTTTGCTGTTTGCTGCTGCTCCCTGCTGACTTTAGCCAGTAGCTCTGTTTACAAACCCAGGTTGGTTTTCCCAGCACAGTTAATTAGACCAGAGACATCTGGTGTGAGGGCTGGGGAGGGCATCTGCTCACACCCTCCCCGCCCCCCAAACCCCCCCCCCCCCCCCGCCCCCACCCCCAGCAGCCATGGGCCAGTGCAGGGCAGAACAGCTAAACTGAACCAGACAGGACTCCAGCAAACCCAAGGTTCTTAGGGGAATCGTGGCTTCTCTCATTCTGCCTCCGCCAGGCTTGCTAAGTTAGACTGGACCCCAGCCCTCGGAGTGTTTGGGACCCCAGGAACCAGGGTTGGGTGCCCCAACCTCGGTGGGATCACAGGCTGGAGACCAAGGACTCAGTTCTCTCCTCTGCCCTTCCATGTCCAAGAATCTCTGTCCTTTCTCTCATGACAGTAACTCTGTGCTCTGTAGGAACACCAGATTTCTTTGGCCCCCCTGTAGGAAAATATCCCCTCCCCGACACCCCCTTAAAGAGGAGGTCCTGGGCCCTCCTCCCCCTCCCTGACACCTCTCCAGGAAATCTCTGACACTGCGGGGGGGGGCGGGGGGGGGGAGGAGGAATATGATTGATCAGTCCGGGACCAGAGGGAGGCAGGAAGGTGCCCAGGAAGGTGAGAGGAGCTGGGGTGGACAGTTCCAGGGCGATGGGGAGGTGGAGGGCCAGGAGCGGGAGGGGCAGCGGCTTATCTCTCCCAGGAGGGGGGAGTTCACTCCAAACAGCTAATGCACTGGCGTGTGAAAGCCCCTCAATTAGCACTAATGATGCAATCAGGGAGGGAGGAGGAGGGACCAGAGGTTCTGGTGGAGCCAGCACCAACTTACACAGTACACACTCCCTGCCTCCGACACAGTGGCCCCTTCAGACGGTATGGACCACGCACGTCCGTGGGTAAAAACGCACTTTGCAGAAACTACTAGCATGCATTTGGTTCGTGATCCGCTGCGGACCGCGTCTGAATGCAGGGATCCCCGAGGGGGAGAAGGGGTTAGGGACAAGGAACAATCAGAAATCGGAAAGACTTGTGAGAGGAGGTTGAGCAGTGCGTCTCCGAAAACATGATTATTCCTCTGATCTCAGAGTCCCCGTCCCACGCGCGCTCGCAGGTGCAAGCCCCTCTGCGTCCTCCCCCCAACACCCCTCCCTCGAATCCGGGACTTGGGCCAGGAGCCGTCACCCCCAGCCTCACCCGCGGGAGGCGGGACCCCCGGGAATTTCCTGCGCCCCGTCCGACCTCCGGCCCCGGGTCCCGGGAAGGGCCCTCTGGGGTCACACGGATCTCCAGACCGACCCCAGCTGCTCGTCCTCTCCGAAGTCCGTTACCCGCGGCCTCGCCCCTTTTCTGCTCTCCCACCCCGCCCAGCCGGCTCCGTTATCCGCCTCCCGGTCCCGTTATCCCGCAGCCACGGCCCCGTTATCCGCCCTGGCGCT